TTCCTTTAACATCATTACAATATTCAAGCTATTCGGCTGACTTCTTAAATTTTATAATCTCCTCCTCGTGTTGTTGTATTGTTTATATTATCCTATTGAAGTTTTATTTGTTATTAATCTAGCTTACTGAGATCGTATTCTTAAAATTATTCAGTACATTTCAGCCATTCCATCCTAGTGAATTTGTAATTCTATCTAATTCATCATGACAACGCTGGCACTACATCTTCTTTACGAGTTTACTTTGAGTCTTAAGTTTATTTTCTTTATAATCTTGTTTCCATTCATTCTTTAAAGTACTTTATTCTCAATTTTACACTATGTTAAAAGTCTAATCTTATTTACTCTGTCTTTTTAACACCTTTATCTCCATCACGCTTTCTTTGTTATTGTTATTACTCTATCCTGCTGACATTCTAATGGTCTATCAATCCAAGAGCAGTAAAACGTTCAGTCGTTGTTCTATTTTTCTTTTGTTTTTGTATCAGGCAGTTAAGTAGAAATCACAGAATTCTCAAAAGTGCATTATCTAGTCGTTCTTTAAAAAGTTGCCAGTAATTCATAGAAGTCTTCAGTCCAATGGGATACGTTAAATTGTCAAAACTTATATCCATATAAATTTGATATTGTTCCGTAATAATGGATCTAAACTATGTTTTACTTTTGGTCAAACATAGTACCAATCATTCTTCATTTAAATAACTGACAATGACCTGTAAAGCTCCAAATAATCAGTTTCCAGACATTTTGTTTAGAATAACTGGCCATAATACTAGATCACGTAGGATTACATCACCTAGTTGTTCTTCTTATCAACAGTTGACAATGAATCATAAAGTTCTAAACAAATTCCTGACTTCATTGTAAAGAACTTAAAATGACCCATAAACCTCCAAAAGACGCCGATTCATCTCCTAAAAGTGTAGATTCAAAATATTCTTTTATAAAGCAATAGACAATGTTCCATAAACTCCCAGAAAAACACTTTCCAGTTTCTGTAATATTAAACAATTAATAATGGTCAAATAAAACTCCCAACAGTGAAACTTCCAGTCGTTTTTTTATAAAATAATTGACAATCACTCATAAATCTCTCTACAGTGCAACTTCCTGACGTTTTTGTATAAAACAATTGGCAACGACACATTAAACTCCCGACAGTGCACATTTCAAATACTCATGTATAAAACAATAGATGATGAACCCTACAACTTTCAGAAAAAACGTTGTCCAGTTGTTCTACTAAATAACTGGCATGTCCAAAAAACACTCAAACAGTACAAATTACAGAGGTTCCTATACAAAACAATTCTTAAGGATATAAAACACCTAATCTTACGAAACCATCAGGGTTGGTCGATAAAACTTTTAGTTGTTATTGTATAAATGGATCCATGAAACTCTAAACGAGCAGTATACAGCCGTTCTTTTATAAAACAATTGAATATGGCTCATAAAAGTCGGAGATCTCATGGTGTATCATATTGTAGTATAAAGTTTGGAAGTAACTTTAAAATACTCCGAACAAACATTGAATAATATCCAAACGATTTGAATCTTCGTTGATTCTTAATTAATGTTGTTTTCATTTGAAGATGGAATAGTTTTACGTTATTCCTGTAATTACCGTAAGTTACTATAAAATAATGTTTAGCAACTACTTTCCTACTCGGTCCACAAATTAATAATTTAAACTTTAAGAAAGGCTCTCATATTTCGCAATAGCTGATTGTGTAATTTTAACAATATCATCATGTTTCGACATTCTTACCTATACGTTTTTATTAATGCTACACAACTTTGGTAATAGCTCTTCACTTTTCAACTTCTAAACGGAACAATAGATTTATTAAACTACACCTACAATATTAAATATAACAGAGACTAAAAATGAAATCAAATTTTCAGACACACGTTTTACTGCCTTTTAGCCGAACATCAAGTTTATTTGTTAGATACTCACAGGTAAATAATCTAACAAATTATAATAACATTAAAGTTTCTTGTTTAAAAGTGTCTTCATATTTTTTCCAAAACTCTCACTCACACCTTCAATGTTCTAACCTGAAAACCAGTTATTAACGTAAAATACAGTATTATGTGTTTACTTTTTAACTTCCAAATTCTTATAATTAGCTTAGTAATTTACAACTATAGTTTCATATCTTCCCATTTCTATCTTCTAAAGAACTATTAAAATAAGTAATGTTAATAAATGTTTCAGTCTTCTAAGTTAAGTGATGAGGTTATTGAAGTGTATTTTCAACATTTTACGTTTCGACCTTATAATTTAAAAATGTTGAGTTAATAAGGCACGATAAAACTTTAACTTCACTTTTCAGCTTTCTACATTTTCTTGTCAGATTAACAATGCACGACTATATCTTTAAATTACCTCCTCACGTTTTTTCCTTATCAGCAATCCAACCATTAGCCCACTTCAAACACCGCACCTTTCACGTTTTAACCTTCCAGAGTATATAACTGGAATAATTAACATTTAACTTCAGCATAATATCTTAACATTTCAATCTTCTAAGTAGTATGGGGGTATTAATGTGGAAAGATAACATCGTATCTCCGCCTATTCTTCTCATACCATATACCAGGAGATTTAAAATCAACAGCTTTGGCATGAATGTTCGATACTTTCCCTCTCAACACTACGTACTTGTATTATTAACGTACAATTATAACATTATTACGATTCATCATAACAAAATAAACGCAATCGATGTTTAAACATCTTTATCTTATAAACGCCTAACCTGTAAGTTTGATTAGTAAAAGTAAAATGGCCTGGTGGTTAGGGCGTTCGACTCGCAATATGCGATTTAGAATCTCGTCAACGAACACGCTCGCCCTTTCCCCTCGGGAAGCGTTATAATAAAGTGACGGTCAATTCCACTATTCGTTGGTAAAGAGTAGTCCAAGAGTTAGGCGAAAGGTGATATCGACTAGCTGTATTCCCTCTAGTTTATCGCTTCAAAACTGGAGACGGCTAGAATGATAGCCCTCGAGTAGCTTTGCGCGAAATTCAATATAAACAAAGAACTAAAAGTATTTTCTTCAACCCAAAACAGGTCGTTAATCATATCAATTGAATGGGTAATAGCCGTGCATTTTCAGCATTAACGTTTTAACAATATACCACATCTTAAGAGCCTATCTTTTTTTTTTTTGTAATAACTTGATTAATTAACATAATATTAAAATAATACTTTTCCTAGCGACTAAGGACCAAATTACTGTTTTGATGACTCTGAACTGCCACTGAAGATAACTGATATGAGTCTTACACTCTATATACGGACAAAAATATAACTTTTAGTGAATTCAACACCAAACAGATCACTCTTTGTTTTTCAAGGGAACGTATGTTTCAACTTGTAATCTAAATAGCTTTTATGTTCTTCGGAAACGAATCATTGTTGAAGGACTTACTTTTGCATCATACGTTCTAGCAGGAAGATATAATTGAATAATGATTGTGCTAATATTGTCGATTAACTTTAAGAAAAGCTGTGTTTGTTAAGATGGTGGAGAAAGTGTGAGTGCTAATAATTATTCATCAAAACCATGAAATAACAAAGTTGGCTAATAACTGAAATGATTTTAGTGTCACTATGTTTAGCCAGCAACAGATGATAGTTGTAATTATATATATATATATTTGTGTGTGTGTTGTCACTATGTGAACGTTTGTTCTCATAGTAATAATGAGAAACACTGTAAGCCCTTTATGCTGTAAGTCAAAGTGTCTTTCAGCCATAACTTCACATGTTTCACTGTGACAAGAAACTTAAACCATTGGAAAGTGACCGGATTTGAAAGCAAGACACTTGATAGTTTCCTACAGCTGTGTTGTTTATACTGTTGACATTCACATGCTCATTAATGTTAATGCCGACGTGGACTAAAACCCAGGCTCAATGAAACTTCGTCGAAAATTTGACTGTTTAATATCCAGTTTAAGTTTAAATATATAATAATAAATAATTTTAATCACACTTAATGACAACTGTAGTGCCGGAAAGTTATTGTTGACTGTTTAATATATTTGCTCCTGTTCCTTGTATAAATATATAATCCAATATCATTTAATCCTAACTTTGAAGTAGTGATCAATTCTCACAGAGAAAATGTATATTAGATATAAGCACAGCATGCGTTGATAAAAATATTGTTGTTGTTTGTTATTAAGCACAAAGCTACACCACGAGTGCTCTGCCCACCACGGGTATCAAAACTCGTTTTCTAGCAGGATAAGTCCGCAGACATACTACTGTGCCACTGGGGGGGGGGGGGGGCAGTCAAAATACATATATAATTACAAATATGTCGATCATAGGAGGCCACCCTTCAGTTTTATATAATTGGACATACTGAGAAAGCCCGATTAAACAAAGCCAATTCTGTTGGCTGACATTGAAAAATCGTTCGGAACCACATTATTAAGAAATTTGGCAGAGCGGGTTTTACTGTTGTTTTATTTTAGCAGTCTGAGTAGCTGTAACGGATGGTGCAAAATGAACAGAACAGGTTTTGTCGTTGCTGCATTTGACTTGTCCGAGTAGCGGTAACAGCTTTTGCAACTCTGTAGATCTTATTACTATATGCTATACTGAAGGGAAGAAGTAAAACTTGTTATCAGGGTAGCTAGAGATTTTTATTTCTAAACATATTTGTTTTTACAGAGCAAGAGTTGCTTTATTACTTTATATAACGAACTTAAATGGTTGAAACTGAAATAAGATCGACTGAGAAAATATTTTAGTTTGTTTAAGGTTTAAGAATAGTTATAATAATGAAAAACCAAGTGAGCTATGTTTGCTTCAGTTATTGGTTTCAATCTTAAATCAACGCTATTTATTTATTTATTTTGCTTTATGAAAGGTTGGTCAGTAATGTATCAATAACACAATAAAAACCGTTAGAATAAATGCGTAGAAAATGCCCATCATGTTATAAATATACCTCCTTACTTTAGACATTTCGCCAATTTTCTTATGATTATGCTTGAGGTTTATTTTACTACTAATTAATTTTAAACCTTTTCATTGTCTGTTTTGTAAATTTGTTTACAAATGCTTTATACCGGCAAATGATTTATCAGATATATTTGGTTGCAACAAATAATGATTTGTTAAAAACCAAAAATAGTGTGAATATATTACACTTATTGGTTGATTAAGGTTCTTTTTATATTAAAGTGTACTAACTTGAAAAGCAGATTTATAACGGGTTAATTTTAAATCTGATTAAATTTATTTGTTTAAATGCAGATTAACTATTGAAAGTTAACATTTACCGTGAATGTGCATTAATCAAAGGTCAAGAAAAGATGCTATTCAATGCTTTAATTAACCACGTGAAATACTTCAATAAGAAAGTATCTTAATGATAATGAGAACAGAAATTCATAAAGGATATGTTTTCTTTCATTTCCTTATACAGCAAACTTTTCAAGTTTTATTGTTTGGCAACAAAGCACGGAGGTCATACATACCCATACAATTAGATATGTATGTATGTATGTATATATACTTCTACGCCTAAAAATATCCTTTAATGTGTTATGAACTAGCTACGACTTGAGGATAATGTCTCGCAACAGAAACAAATTTCCGATACTTCAGTATACAATATAATATTTTATTAGATATTCAATAGAGTGCTAAACACTTAAAAGAGATAGGTATCATATCTATAGTTATATTACTTTTGATAAAATACCAAAAACTAAGAAATATAAACAAAAACATAAAAGAGACAGTACCCTTAACCGTAACATTGAAATCAAAAACAGATTATCGGGATACTTTTTCATAATCATATAACTACGTTATCACGATACCATGAAGACACTAAAGCAACTAGTTAGAATTATTAATGAAATTCGATGATTTCTACTAAGATACCTAGAAAGATAAGCTGATGGTTTAAATTCTCACAATAAATTTTTCACACACTTTGAATTCTAGTATGCTAAGGTAAAGAGTTTGTTAAATCACAAAATAGCACATTGGAAAAATATAAATGCAGACGGATCTCACAATGACAAGTACAAGGTGATTAGAAAGAAACTCCCATACTTATAATTATTATATGTTAAAAACTAATTACCTATAGGGAAATAGAAATTTACAGGACGAATACTGAGAATCATAAGTTTTATTTGTGGTACTGGGTATTTCAACCCTATTAAATTTCTCTTTCTCAAAGTATTGTTGATTTTATTTCTCTGTCAACAATACTAGATTAGTTATATGAACAAAATACGCATTAGAGTGTACGATCGTTTTACTTCGGTCGAGAGACAATTCCAGAAAGAAATACGGTCACCCAATTCCTGGTCGGCAAGATCCTAAGACTTAGCACCAGTAAAATAATTATTGGCTGTGAGGTTTGCTAAAATGGTGGAATAGCTCAAGAAATTTGGAGGATTTGACAACATCCATTAGAAATGAGATAGCGAATATCGAGAAACTTTTCAGAAAGGATGATGTTTGTAAAAGGATTGATATGGTGTAATAGTTTTTGAAACACCCTTTTCAAATTAATCTTATGATTTTCAATTTACCTGTTGTAAATTTTAGTTACCTTAAATGGGTAGTTTTTAAGATATAACAATTCTAAATATTTGTATTTAAATTTCATCATATATTTCCATATTATAATTTCATTATAACATATACTATACTACTAGCCATGAATTGCCGCTAAATCTGTCTACTTAACTATCGTTATTACTTTATCATGATACCTCTAGAACTGAGCTTACTAGTGGAGATTTTTAGTCTTCATATTACAAAAGTTTCTGAGATTCTAAAACTCTTCTTTTTTAATTTACGGGTACCTTTATGGGTGTTTGCATAAGTGATGTTTGGTTTTCATTTGTGAGTGAAGAATAATTAAACTTACAGAAAAAATTTAATAATTTCGAGTGAAATCGATATTCCGCGTTTCTTCGCTGCCTTTAGTAACTTGAGACTTAACTGTAACGAGGCTAATAGGATTACTCTGGCATTAGCTGTTGGCCCCAAAGTCAGCCTTAAAAACACGTCTATCCACAGCATATTTGTTATTAGCCTGACATTCATATGTCCCAGAATCCATCTGTGTTGCCGGTGTGATCTCCAGTTTACTTTTCAGCTTGGTTTCCCCATGCTGCCACTCAGATATCTGTGTGTTAACGTAAACATAAATGTACCATAAGAATAATCATTTAATAACTAAAACAAAAAAGGGAAAGGGATACGTTTTTAGAGCTTAATTAAGGAGAAACTGTTTGTTGAGCGCTGACGAGTTGTTCCTTACCTTTTGGACAGTAGTGTGTTTAAAAAAATACTTCCCTTAAAAGTAAAGCGGACAAAGTTAACGTTTTCAGCTGTAATCTACGGAGTAGATAAATACGCACATGACTGAATTCTAGGATAAATTATCAACATTCTGGTTACTTAAATATCATTCCATTTTCAAATTTGACATACATTCTATCAAGCAAATTATTTAAATAACTAATCTATTGGCACCTTGTATTTATAATTTTAACATTTGATGAGCAAAACTTATTACTATGTTTCTTTTTATTTTCTGAATTATGTGAAACTTAAATATGTAAAGTAATCTCTAAAATAGAAAGTTTTACCTGAAAGTAAGGATGAGAAAATAGTTCCACTCCGTCTTTAAACCATGTAATTTGAGGACGCGGGTCTCCCTTGGCTACGCAAATAAAAACGATTTTGTGACCTAAATAAAACTCGTAGTCAAAGTGAGACGATTTCAAGATTCGAGCTCCCTATAGAAATAAAAGGTTATATGCCATGTTATTCTAACCATATTCTCACTACGCTTCTCGCTACTTGAAACATTTTCTGTATATTTTCATTATATTTGTGTTAAAATACTGGCAATACGGTAACTCCAACTAATAAAACAAAAGTTATATGAGTAATCAATAATTAGTATTTAATGAAGCAAGATGTCTTAGTTTAATACCATTATCTCCCTTAATGTCGAAGTAACAAAACAGAATCCCAGTTATTTAACTATAAATCGTGGCGCCAAGCCTTAATTATTTTTTTGTGAGAAATGTAAAACGTCTGATTAATTGACTATGTTAATGGGAAATTACTAAATATCCATGTTCCTCACAACCCTCTGGTTCTTCCGTAGTTATTACAGTTGATGTACGAACTCCGAAACGTGCTATGTCATCAACAGTTCACGATTTTGTAGAATTCAGGGTTCAACTTTGATCCCCCCCCCTAAAAATTTTGCTGAAATGCCGCTACTGCTATAAACCTATTTTTTACGTTTGATATACATTCTGTCAAGCAAATTACATTAACAATTAAGCTAACGACTTTTGAATGCCATAATTCTCAGTTCTTGCTTTATTGGTTTGTACAGAAATATTTTGGAAAGAGGGTCTTCAATCATGGGATTTAATCTTAAGACCACGATTATCGTTAATTCCATTTTGAAAATAAAATTCGTATATACTTCTTTTTCTTTGGGAGAAAATTGTTGAGAATGTTACGCCCCTTCCCTTCCGGTGGCTCAGCGGTAATGCTAAAATTCGAGTTTTGATACCTGTGGTAGGGAGTGTACAGATAGCCCATTGAGAAGCTTTGTGCGTGATAAAAAACAACAAACAAAAATGTCACTCTGCCTATCTACGTTAGAAGTGAAAATTCAAACTGTAGGAAACGAACTCAGATTCATTTTACCAAACATTACTACATCGAGAATTCTATAAACTTTCAGTTATCATAATAATGGTTTGCAAGGATGAGTATATCAGGACTTATGAAATCGATAAGCAGAATTAAGTGAGAAACGAGACTTACAGCATTAGTTGATTAAAACATCTGCTCCGAAGCAGAACTATGGATTTGAGTCACGCTCAGTCTTCGTTCTCTTTACTTCAGAAAATTTTCTGGCATTTTGAGTATTAAAAACCACGTGCTGTACATCAACATTCAAAATTAAAGTACAACAAACATGATTACAATATATTAATTATAGTTGTAACTTTGGAGTTGCGAAAACGTCCACTGAATTTATGACAGTAGAGCTGATTATTTACAAATTACATCTATTTCGCACTTACGTTGGGATTGTCATAGTATTCCCGACGACCAGGTGAAGTGTAGAATATGAATCTTGGGGAACCTGCGCGCCCTTTCTTTCTTCCTCTCCCTCTTCGTCCTCCCCTAAGTCTAGCGGAGTCAACTGTCACAACCACCATCAGAAGCAAAAAACACAGAAGTCTGATGTTCATTGTGGAATTGCCCTTCAGCATGAAATAAACACATTTGTAGTTTACTTTTGAGGTTTTGCTTGATCAAATATATATACGTTGAAAATCTATTTTCTGTGCTTAGTTGTAAAATTCTTTTTCCTAAATATCATCACATAGATAAGCAAAACAACTGCAAATATTAGTATCTAGGGTTATATAACACTGATTGTGTAGAATTAACTAATAACCTTATTCAGCAAAAGTTAACAAATTCAGTGAGATGTCACAAAATATTAGTCAGCATTTTGATTAAAACACAAGATCATTGAGTGTGTGTATGTGTGTCTAAGGTGTCATTAGGTAGTGTGACAATTGAACACTATTGGTTTAACATATGCTAACATAAGGTTGTTAAATGTGGTAGTCATGAAACACATTGGTGAAAGTTTCTCATAAAGCTTTAAAGACAGGCTTAAAAAATCATTTGGTGTTTGAATATTAAACAATTAATTGTTGACGAAACAGTGCTGGCCAGTATAATTAACAAACTAAATTATGCAAATTGCACGTAGCTATAACTAGCGTGTTGATCAATATCAATTACCGTAATATTTTGACTGATAAGGGTATATGCGCTGAAAATTAAGTTTGCTACGTTACTCACCTCAATGACCTTATATTTTCTTTTAGTGCTACACTGTTTCTGTAATTGTAAAGGTATGCACAGGCTATGCTGAATTACAGACAAGGAGGAAGAACTAAAGTTGGAGAAAATATGTAATTAAAATTCTACCTAAAATGGTATAATTCATAACAAAGAAAACAAAATGACTATTTTAGCTAGTTAAACTCACCTCGCTATATGTTGTCGAAGTTGTTGTCAACTTTAAGAATGTCCTTACGACCGAAGAATGCCCAGAGAAATGAAAGCGAGGAAAATTCAACTCCACATAAATAGCACAACTTGTGATATTATGGATTCTTTGCACGCACGGATCTTATAGCTCCTTTTTAAATTCAATCGTTTAAGCATGTGCTCCCTGCGCAGGTTGATATTGATCCCTCGATCCAGTCGCAAGCGTAAGTTTATAGCCGCATAAATGTGTTTATATATATATATATATATATATACTCGTACGCACACAAAGTCATATATTAATTAATTTTAAATTAGTTTCTGCTTCAGCCCGATGTCCAGCAAAAAAAGTTGGTATGAAGAAGTACAAGAATGATCAGACCACCAGTTAAACTTAGTTAGCTACCAAGAAAATTTAGCTGCAGCAAAAAATTGCAAGTTTGTTTTCCTAGAGAAATATTTCATGTTAGTTATCCTGCAGCTTAGGGAGTTCAATCAATAAAAGTCTTTGAGTCTTTATTTATTTATAGGCATGCCTTTTTGACTTTGGTTTCGTTAAAAATTGATATTACTTTCTGATCAGAGCAAACTACTTTCTGAGATTGAAACTAAAAACCAATTTTGCAATGAGCATAGGTTATTAAAAATACTTTGGTTTACTTATAAAAATTAGACTACATTTTTTCATCAGTTGGGTGCCCTCCCTGTTAACGATATTTCAGTCGTAAAACCAATAGTATTTTTACGAAGTTCGGTTAACTTAGGAAATTTAGGTTAGTCTTAAATTCTTATATTCACTAACAGTACAAAACAACCTTTATAATACAAGTATAACAATAACAACTTAAGAATAATATAACTAGATATATAAAAAAACTTTAACCAATACTGTATAAATTCGAAATTAATAAAGTATAGAAAAGTTATATGTATAACAGAAAAACGAATTGCAAAGGTTCGTGACACTGGTTAATTTCAACTGCAGATATTTAAGGTAGAATAAGTCGATATTGTTAATGAGATGTGTGCCCTAATCAATCTCTTTCTAGAAACTGTTTGAACAGCACCTGGCAAGCACCCACGTCACATGAGCCGAAATATTCTAAAAACAAAACTTCGAAAACTCTGTGTTTATGATTTTCAGGTATGTATATGTGTAGAGATTATTTTACTTCGTTCTAACTGATTACGTTTTTACATTTCCATTACATTCTGTAGCTGACAAATAATATTAAATCTGTTTTGTTCTTAATTTCTGAAGAAATAATGTTAAATGACACTTGCTTTTAAAATTTATGTGATGAAAGTATTACTGATTTTTCGGGATAACATATTTGAAAATATGAAATAAATAGATTATTGAGAAAAAAAATCAACTTTGTTTAATTATTCAACTGAAAAAAATAAAATTTTAATTTTATGAGGTAACATAAAATGTTCAACCTTTGAGAAAGTTTGTTTTTGTAGTTAATCACAAAACTACACAACAGGCTATCTGTGCTGTGCCAATCATGAGTATGAAACCCGATTTTATCTTGCGTTATAAGTCCACAGACTTGCCGCTGTTTCACGTGGGGGGGGGAGGGGGG